GTTTCGTTTGCAACGGTGTTCCCGGGAATTCCGGTATTAGCATCTGATCGCAGTTACCTTTTCACCCGAGAAACCGACGAGTTGCCAACTTTCTTCTTGCGAAATGTTCGGGGCGAACGACTGAATTTCGCCCGATGCAAACGCGGAGATCCATTGGCAGTTTATCGACGGGAATCAGCGGAACAGCCACGTGTTTATAATCAAGAATTCGCGTGGTCTCGGAGCAGTTAAGATGTTATCTTTTAATGAAAGGCTAAGGACTGATGAAAGTGGAGGTTTCTATTCAGATCTAGTCCCGATCGAGCTGGGTTCGTCAGCGGCCGTCCTTCGGTTCCTAGCATCGTCGAGGCGGGTGATAAATTAGCTAGAAATAGGTAACTCCAGGCAGGTGATGTTAGATTGGCAGATGTTTCTGGTTACACAATAGTTGGGCCCTAATCTAGTCGGTACTGTTGCCGTTACCAATTTTTTCTTTCGGTTATAGACGACTGTTGCGCGTTGCTTTACCGTTATTATATTTATAACTATTTATTATTAGTAAATTATAATTTAATATTCCATTATTTCTAAGAGTGCGATTACTCGTATCAAAATTGGCAAGTGGATTGTTTACAATTAGTCTACCGCGATACCATATAAATGAAATTTTGGATGATGCCACTGAATTCCCTAAAAAACTTTGTCCTCCGCACAGTAGCTTCGATGCAATGCTTCACACGACCCAATATTTGAAGTTCATTTATTCGACAAAGCTGATAGAACCACGTCGAAACACTGTGTACTTACACGTACCTCTGCGAGCAGAATGCGGCTCATTATCGCAATTCTCACGCAACGATTCCGGCGCGATACTCGAAACGCGCACAGAACGAGCCTATTATCGTCCAGCGTTTTCTATAAACAACGTCGGTCCCTTATCGCTGATATTTCGCATATCAAAGAACGATTACGCTAATGGAAAGCATAAATAAAAATAAATTTTCCTCGGTGGGATCGGGAGATAATCGGCCGCGAGTCAAGCTTTCCATCGTCGATTCCTCGGCGCGCCGAGGATTCGACGGGCATAATCGGCGGCCGCGTGTGATTGACATTAGTCCGGTCGGTTAGATCAAGGATAATCGGAGGAAACGATCGCCTCGCGGTGGCTGGCGCGCTATAAAACCGGCGTCGCCCGAGATGCGGAATTATAACTGTGTTGATAGGCTATGGAACGGCGGGACGGGGGCAGCGGAAAGAGGGGGGACGGCGAAAGAGAGACCGCGTAATGCCTCGTCGCGCTTGCATGTATCACGATGTCCGGCGGTGCACTTGCAACCAATAAGAAAGGAAACACGGCTCGGCCGCGGGGAAGGGGAAAAGGATACCGCGGTCGCTTCCACGGTAGACGGGAGAGATTCACGGGTCCGCGCGGTACACCTCCGCGGCCCTGCTCTTGCGCCCACGAATGCATAAATCCGCGCTACACCCACTCTTTCCAGCGTTAATCCGTTAGGTTCCGTGAATAGTCGCGGTGCGTCTTTTCCAACGCGATAATCCGCGGCTGGATCATCGGGAACGCTACCAGGCTGAGGATTCACACGACGATCGTTGCCCACGTGCACGCTTCCGGAGTGATTTAGAACGTACCTACGCGGTTGTAGACATCTAGGACGTCTTCTTTATCTGTTTGCCGAAGCGGACAATTTGTCGTTTCACGGCTACAGAAAAAAGTTAGGCTCTTTAGACGGGGTCGTAGAGAAGGAACGCCTTAATCCGGCTTGGCACAAGAGTCACATTCACGCTGGAATTTCAACGTTCGCCCTCTTTTCCGTTATGGTTTTGTAGTTCTGCTGGGAGCAGGCTGGAGAGAGACGTCGATAATCAATCGATAGATAAGCGCGGCCGCCGCAAACACAGCTGGGTCCACCGAGGGCCCAGGTAATCCGAACACAGGGCGCCTTGTATTGCCGTGCGGAGTCTCTCTTTGGCGTTGTGTACCCACCCGGGGCCATCGCTGGCTTGATCCTCTGTACACGCAGCTTGCCGCGTTTTCTACGTATTTCGCTATCTTTTAACTGTCCTCTGTGTCGGCGCTGTTTGCCCGGATTAACCGACTAGACCAGACCGTGGCGATGTTCCCTTGCGAAATCGTCACCGACCGGGACGAGTGCTTTCGTCTTCGAATATTCGGTGGTCGCCATTCATCCCTCCGCCTTAAGACTTCTTTCGATGTTACAGTGATCATAATCATTCTTTCATTGATAACTGAGTGGAAGTGCAGATGGCGATTCTGCCTTTAACGTGAGTCTATTATATTGAACATTGAATACTTGGAGCGGCGTGTGAAAGTTAATCAGACAAACTCTTCGCTTTATGTTCTAAAAAGTAACATTTCAAAGAATCTTACGGATATTCAGTAAAAGGACGAACGAAGTAGAACAAAACTAGTGTGACACGTTACCGTTGTTTATTATCTTCTGTAAATTTAATACTACTTCGAGAATATGAAGAAGAAGTACAATAAAAATGTCACAGTGATGATTGACAAATTAATGATATTTAAATTACATAACCCCCAATTCGTCAATGCGAAATTTTTCAAAACGACCTGTATCATTAACACATACTTCTACGATCGACACCCGTGGAACAGAGATTTAACCAAACGGTTACTTTCCTGTTACAGGTACGACCTGGGGTTGCGTCGGGGTAGCTAGTAAAGTGTCCGTTGATGGTGAAGAGGTTACGATTACCGATAGACTGCGATTGAAGAGGGTGAGGAGCGCCGCAGCATTCGGTAGGAGGAGGAGGAGAAGAAGAAGAGTAAGTCGAGAGAGTGTAGGCGCAGGCGCCGTAGGTGATGTGAGGCTGGCGCCCGCCTCACGTTTGGGGTGATGCCCTCCAGTGAGCCTCATCCCCCCCAGTACCACCTTCAGCACCACAACATTCCTCCCTCGCATCTTCAGCAGCAAACGTCAAACGCGATCGGGCAGCATCAGCTCTATCAGCAGCTGGTGGCGGCCCATCATCAGCAACAGCAACAGCAGCAACATCACCAACAACACCACCAGCAGCAGCAGCAGCGTCAACAGCAACACGGCGGGCCCTTTCAAAATTCCCCGTACACGCAGCAGAAGCAGGAGATGAGCCCGGAGGAGGAGGGGGGTCGAGGGGGCGGG